TTTTATAAATATTTAATTTATATTTCAATTACATTTTATAATAATGTGTTTATTGTTTACAAAAATAAAAATATTGTTAACTAAACATTTGAGAATTAATTTTTAGTTGACTTTTGGTTAATATTAAAAATTAAAAATAGTAAAATAGAAAATAATCTATATAATAATTCACATATAATAGTTGCATATGCTTTGTGCCTTGAAATTCAATAGAAAATAACATAATAATAGCTTTTTGCATGTATTAATTTTTAAAATATATATAATATGTTCTAGGATTCTTGTTTGACACAATATCAATAAAATTTTATGATTTCTATGCATCCCACTATATTAATTGTAGTATATTTCTTCACATATACCTTTAGAATATACATTTTCTATGTATCTATACATTAATTATGGCTATTTTGATCTTAAAAATAAAGTTATTAATATGTTTATAGAACTTATATGCATTTTTCAGCGTATCCATATTCTTTCGTCCATATCCATGCCTTTCCAAAGCGTATCCGTATCTGAGCGGTCCGATACGATACCCGATACTGATACTTTAATCCTTGTCTAATCATACTTATGCAATTACTCTAAAATTTTAAACATAAACAAACTATAACTAGACAAATTAAACCCCACCATTGGGCCCCATAGAAATTGCAAAATGACAAAAATACCCCTACAATCCAAAAATATAGAAATACATAAAATATCATAAATTTCCAATTGACAAAAATACCCCTAATGTCCAAAAATACATAAATACATATAATATCATAAAAATTCCAATTGACTCTTCAGCTCCTACATTGGGTGATCAGTTGACTTGACATTAAATAGATAGATGATATGGCAGTATAAAGAAATAATTAAGGTGATTAGGTGGTTGATGATGGGAAGAACAGGTTCAAAGGTTAGCAAATGGTATGGCTAATGCATTTACTTAGGCTCCATTTGGTTTGTGGGATGGGGATGAGAAAAAGGGAATATTCCAAAAATATTCCCTTTTCTCGCATTTGTTTTGAGGGAAATAGAGGGATGGGATGAGAAAAATGTGGGGTGTCCGATCCCAAAATCGTGGATTTGGGGTCGCACCAAAATTGTGCAACCCCGGTGGAAAATTTTGAGAAATCACTGTTACCATCGACAACGAAGAACCAGTGCTACCTCCCCTTCCCCGTTCGAACCCAGAAGTAGAGCGGCGGCGACGGCTTCTCATTCTTCTTCTTTTGCTACCTCCCCTATCTAACCCAGATCTGCTGCCTTCCCCGTTCGAATCCAAAAGCAGAGCAGCGACAGCAGCTTCTCTTTCTTCTTCTTTTGCTACCTCCCCTTTCGAACCCAGATCTGCTACCTTCCTCGTTTGAACCCAGAAGCAAAGCGGCGGCGGCGGCTTCTCTTTCTTCTTCTTCTGCTACCTCCCCTTTCGAACCCAAATCTGCTACCCTCCTCGTTCGAACCCAAAAGCATAGTAACAGCAGCTTCTCTTTCTTCTTCTTCTGCTACCTCCCCTTTTGAACCCAAATCTGCTACCTTCCCCGCTAGAACCCAGATCTGCAGCACTGTTCGTCGTTCATCGTCTTCATCTTGGTGAAACAAAGCACCCCACAGTGGCTTCCTCTTCGTCACAGTGCTTTTCCCATTATTTTCCCATATCTAAAACCAAACAATGGAAGTGTAAATTTTTACACTTTCCCATCCCACCTAAATCTTCCCACAAACCAAACGGAGCCTTAGAAAAGGATAGGTGGAAACTTCCAAGCCTATATTGATATGTATAACACTAAGGAAATGCTTCTTAATAAACAGAAACAAAGCACTTCAGACAACTTTAAAAGAAAACAAAACAAAGGGAGAGCCCCCACATACATAAGTATACAAATTGGTTAGAGACTCATGATTATATGTATGATATGCCATATAAAAGGGATACAGGCACTATTTATCAAAATACAGATCATAAATATTTTCTACTAAGGGCCCCTGATATCAACGTATCAAATATCACTCAACTCTTTCATAGACCAAGGGAACAGTGAAGCAAGGATCTTTTATAAATTCTTTCCCCTTGCATTACTCTTATGTTCAAAACTTCCAAAATTTTCGCTTTTCAAATAGGGCTCAATGTTAATCCCAGCTATTTAGGATCTTGGGAGGGTGGATTGGATACACACCTTGTCTTTGGCATTTTTTGCCCAAGGGAACCACTCAGTCTCAAGCCCACATTCTCACACTTCCCTTTACAAATATGCCAACTTAATACAAAAGAAAGAAGCTTCCAATGAATTCTTCCCCTTAATGAGAAACATCTAGAGGGCCACGACAGAGCAATTCCAGCATTATACAAGTAAATTGAAACACATCAATTTTAACCATAACTTCACAAACCATTTGCATTTTATACCATCAGCCATCTGTTGTGCCCAATAGTCTTGGGAACAGAAAATTGGATGGCAGATTCTTTGGCCAAGTAAGGGGTTTATACTTTATAGGCAGCAGCTGTTTTGGGCTAAGTTGTAACTGATCCGAGTTTGAAAGACTTTAGGGTAGTAGGGTAACTTTTTCCAACTAGTAATGCACTATTAATGTTTTTAATCTAATAAGTTTTTTCAGTTGTCTCTCAAAAAATAATAAGGATTGTTTGCTAATTTATCCACAAAAAGAGAAGCCATTGATGAACAACTAGTTGATAAATAAGACTTAAATAACATACAAGATGTTCACCCTTTCCTTACGACCTTACCATCAATGCAATAACCAATCTAAGTTCGAAGAAAAGAATCCATTAATCATTTGACTAAAAGCCTCTAGCATGCAAAAAGAGAAGAATGAAATCCATAGTAACATACTTTTTTGTTTGTCGGAATGATCTTCATCCTCATAACTAAGCTGATCAGCTTTGTCAACATCGCCCTTGTCTTGCCTCTCCTTTTCATTTTTCTTGTCCAATAACTTGTTACTTTTCTTCTTTCTATCAATTTTATTTGAAATATCCTCTAACCACCAAAAGGCATGCAACAACTTAAGTGAGAGCCAAAGATAGTTGCAAATAGATATATAAAGAATCTGACACTTTCATGTATCAACAATGTCAAGTCAAACAAAAAAAATCTTGAAAAATTATGTAAAATAGTTAAGGATGATGGTTGACAATTATACAATATTATAAAAGGATGTGCTAGCCTTAATATAAATAGTTTTTGCTATTTAGTCCACTCAGGGATCTTTTAGCAACTGTACATAATTATAAGAGTATAGAAAAACAAAACAGAGGCTGTCTAGGGTTAGACTCCTCTATCAATTATATCATCTTCTCCATTCATGATTCGTAATATCGATATCAATAAACATTTTGCCATGTAGAGTTGGAGATATATTGGAGATATTTCACTAATTTCGCTAAGATATTTCGAAAATCTAAGGAATCAGGAAAGTTTTCTAGAAACATTAAATTAGTTAATAAACCTTCAAGAAATCATTAAAAGGAATACAATTGCACATTTCAGGCTCAACAAAACATAATAAAGAACTATATAAATCAAATAGTAAAAATTAAGCAATTGTAATAGTCTCTCTCTTTGTCACCCTTTTGGCCTTTAGCCATCTTCTCTTCTTTATATATGTTAGTTGCTTGCCATTTTAACTTCTGTCTTTATTGTGACTTGTTGAAATAATGGGCCGGATGGGTCATAATCTTCTTATATTTCGTTCATTACTTTCTTCGAGTTAATGGACCTTTAGTTGTTCATGTATATTGACAGCCACCCCATTAACAGCAATCTTGTAGTTGTCCTATTAGTTTCTAATTGTGATTAATAAAAGTGATTAAGGGCTGGATAAATGGCATCAATTACGAATATATTTAAGTTAATTTTTCTACAGCTGCAGCATTGATATCTTCAGGTGTTTGAGGGGGGTCATTAGGAATAATTGAGGTGCTTTCAATAGCACTCTACCCCAGCTCCTTAGGAAAGGATTCCACAAGAAATGAAATGCAAGCAGTAACACAAGCACATAAGATATGTAAGAATTTAAATCTGCATGATATAGAGGCCAAAGGAGATTATAAAACTGAGTTGGGATGGCTCAAAATAAAATAAGAAAAAAGAAAAAAAAATAACTACAATGGGACATGGCAGCATAGACAGGCTAATTGCTGGCAAGATAATTAGGAGTCACATGGTCATTGTTCATAGAATGGTTTAGGTAGCAGCACTGATAGCCTTATTTTCCTGTGTTGTATCCGTATACATCATTCTTTAATCACGTCTAATAAAATGCAAAGTTATCATTCAAGAAAATTTGAAATTTAACCCTACAACCACCTCCATGGCTTTTCTTCGATTCAAGCTCCAGCATTAACCAGTTTCAATTTAAATCAATTCTCAAGTAGCATTAAAACTTATTAAAGTTCTCTTAATTTCTTTATGCATACAGCATACTTCCATTTGTTGAACTCCCTTTACTTCACATTTTCTGGAAATCATAGAGAAGAGGCATGACAACAGGGATTATCAGTAAACATTCAAGCAAATAGTTTTTTTTTTTTCTGAAGAAGGTAAACATTCGATCAAATAGATTATAACTTTCAAAAACGGAATATTTAAAGGGTACAGAGAAGAGAAAAGGTTGAAAACGACACCCGCATATCAACAAAGTTTTTACCAAGCCAAGCCAAAGTCATAAGAAGAAAAGCACTAAATAGACAAAAACATGAGACTTATACAATCATAATAAGAGGCTAATACGTACTCTTCATATGCAGTAAGTCTGGTTCCTGCTCAAGAAAATTCTGTTCAAATTCAGGTGACTTCTCAATTAACTTCCGCTTCTTCGATTTATTTTTATCCTTTATATTCACTTTGCTTTTTCCCTTGGGCTTTTTATCTGAAGACATCAAAGTAATAATAAATATATGAGAAGGCTCTAAAATGAAACATAACAGAAATTAGAACAAGACGTCATTAAAGTATCGACTACTCAAAAAACAAAACAAAAAAGAGGAAATGATTGAATAAATCAATGATGAGTTAATAAACATTTACCCATATCTCGTTGAAATGGGCACTAGCAGCTGCGCAAACTGTTCGAGCGATTTAGACCACTGCTTTTTTTCTTTTTCTTTACCTGAAAAATGCCAAAGAATGACGGAAACATCAGTTCCGGAGACAGACGACTGTTGTTGTTTCGTTTTTTTTTTTTTCATACAGATATTAGAGGGAAGGCAACGGTTGAAGCAGCGAGCCCGACCCTATTATGAGGTTCTTGTGAATGCGAAATAGAGATAGACAGATAGTGAGGCTAAAGCGTCGATTCTCTTCTCGAATACGTATGCAGACGCGACGGAGAGAGACTCTCGGAGAGAACAGAGTGTGGTTATTTATTAAAAAAAAAAAAACAGAGTGTGGTTGGGGATGAACACGGCTAGGGCTGGTTTAAACCTCAAAAACCTTTAACAGTAAAGCTGTGGCGGAATGCTAGGCACAGCGATAGTGCTATAAATGGGTAGGGTACGGATCGGATCCACCTACATTTGAAAACGGACCCCTTTGAGTCGGTTGAACCGTTGGTTAAGGCGTGTTGATGATAACTGATAAGGCTGCAACTTGAGTAGTGTTTTTTATATTTTCTTGAGTAATCAAAATTTTCATTTTTTTTATTTATTATTAATATGCATATTTAATATTATCCTATTTTATTTTTCTTTAAATTCTCATTAGCATTGGTGATATTTTTTCTGATTTTTTTAATAATCCTATTTTCTTTAAATTCTCATTAAATTATCCTATTTTATTTGTTGCATTATTACAAATACTTTATTTTTCTAAAGCATTTTGTAAAAACTATGCCTTGAAAGTGTTTTTTGGAGTATTTTGTGAAAATCGCGTCTTAAAAGCACTTTATGGAAGTATTTTGTGAAATCTTGCCTTGAAAGTGCTTTCTAAAATTATTTATCGAAAAAAATGCGCCTTAAAAGCACTTTTTAGAAGTATTTTGTGAAAATTGCGTCTTGAAAGTGCTTTGTAGAAGTATTTTGTGAAAATTGTGCATTTAAAGTGCTTTCTGAAAGTATTTTGTGAAAACTGCGCCTTGAAAGTGTTTTCTATATTTTGTAAAAATCATGCCTTAAAAGCACTTTCTAAAAGTATTTTGTGAAAATTGTGCCTTCAAAGTGCTTTGTATAAGTATTTTGTGAAAACTACACCTTAAAAGCAATTTCTGCAAGTATTTTGTGAAAACTATGCCTTAAAAGTACTTTCTATAAATACTATTCAATATTTATTAAATTATTATTGTTGTTGTTGTTGTTGTTGTTGTTGTTGTTGTTGTTGTTGTTATATTATATTATTATTATTATTATTATTATTATTATTATTATTATTATTATTATTATTATTATTATTAATTGGATCCACATGGTTCTCCATGTATGGGCCCACGTGGGCTCTCAATTGCCATGATGTGGCAAATTTTTATTGAAATGTGTAGTATAATATGTGCAAAGCATAACAGTAACATGAACAGTGAATAGTGAACAGTGAACATTGTGAACAGTGCTAAGGGGAATAGGATGGATAGGTTAGATGAATAATATGAATAGTAAAGAATGGATATGGAATCGATGAAAATAGGAACATGCACAAATCCACATGAGTATATTATGCAAAAAACATTGAAAATAACGATCAAAAATTATTTCTTAATATAATGAAAACAGAAATTGAAATATTCTTTAATATTAATACTTACAGAGATATAGAACAAATAGATAGATTCTTAACAGCATACAATCTCACAAAATTACAAAGCTCACCAATAGCATAGTTTTAAGATCACTCGGAAAGAAAAACACTCAAACTATTACAAAGCACTTAAAACTTGGAGGCTCTTGCACCTTAGAAAATTTTTTGCACACCTTCAACTAAGAGAAGAACTTCTTATATAGAGGCTGTCGAGACTTTCAAAGAGAGACAGTCTGGAATCTCTTTATTCAATCTTATCTCTAAAGCCTCTATAATTGAGATGTCTTTTGACTTTTTTTATTGCGCATCTGAATTATTGAGATGCTATCTTATCTCCATCTTATCCTATTAGGAACAACTATCGAAACTTTTATTGTTTCGGATGAGATGGAATCTTCAAATAGTGTCATGTCCTTGGTGCGAGCTGAGAGAACAGATGCTTTCAGCCTCGATGTCCTTCGAGATCCCTTGGCTTTTTGGAAATAGAAGAATATTTCCAAATAGACAAAGACCTTATTAGGATAAACTTCAATGCACGACCCTTAAAAAATAAATGGTTCTTTGGAAAATTCTCTAAAGAAAAGAGAGATTATATCAGAGAGTTATGGTACGATCACATGAAAGAATTAAAAGGAAATATCCCATTTTGGGAATGGTTTGCAGAACAAAAATAGTTCAGGAAAATAAAGCCTTCCTCTGAAAAATTAGATTTATATATTACCGAAAAACTGTCTAAAGCATAGAAGATAACATAAACTAGAAAACTGTGGAATCAATACATTCACCTTTGTAAACAGTAAAAATAGGAAAAGATGAACTCATAGCTAGCCCCATAAAAAATACAATGATAGTAAAAGATTATGAAAATATCCCTCCAAAACATTGTTCTCAAATTATAAAACAAAATAATTATACAAATATATGCCTAAATGTTTTAGGAAAACAAACTAATAGGATAGAATCCTTATTAAGCTCGTTAGAAATTTCTAAATCTATAATCATAATTAAAAAAGAAAAACCAATGGCAATAATGCCAATTTTCTCAGAAAAATATGAAAATAAAACAACCCCAGTAGACTTGTCAAAAGTAAGTTACCATGAATTATCTGCCCAACTGATATTCCCATCAAATTGGGAAAAGGGAAAAACTTTAAGATCCTCTAAAAATAAGAAAGATGATGATCTATCAGATTCCCGCTCAACGAATTTTATGGGAGAAGAATCAAATGATGAATCAGTAATAGATGATGAATCTATAAAAAATTGGAGATAATAATAATAATAATAATAATAATAATAATAATAATAATAATAATAATAATAATAATAATAAGAAGAAGAAGAAGAAGAAGAAGAAGAAGAAGAAGAAGAAGAAGAAGAAAATGATAGATATAACAGCATTCACAGTACCTTTCAGACACTATGAATGGAATGTGATGCCTTTCGGGCTAAAAAATGCCCCATCTGAGTTTCAAAGGATTATGAATGAGATCTTCACTCCATACACACAATTCATAATAATGTATATGGATGATATGTTAATCTATTCTCCATCTATAAGATCCCACTTGAAACACCTGAATATATTCCTAAGGGCAATGAAGGAAAACGGATTAGCAGCATCTGCTAAAAAAATGAAAATCTTTCAAACAGAAATCAGATTTTTAGGATATCAAATAACCAAAGGAAAATTAGCGCTAATACAAAGAGCAATAGATTTTGCTAGTAAAATCCCTAATGAAATTAAAGACAAAACCTAGCTCTAGAGATTTTTAGGCAGTCTAAATTACGTAGCAGACTATTACAAACGATTAGCTCAAGACCGCCAGCTGCTCCAAAAGACACTAAAGAATAACCCTCCATAATGGAACGAACAGTGAAGTGATGGCTAAAATTATCATTTGTGTCAATATAAGCACTTGTGGGGAAAGTAACTTACTAAACATCCCCACCCCAATAAATGGTTAAAAACATAATAAGTGATTTGACAAGTGAGTCATCAAACAACCTTAAGTGGTTGTTAAAATAAACACTTCTAAAAAGTACTTATGCAATAAATACTTCTTTTAACAACCATTTAATCACCTAATATAGCCTAAATCTTTTCTTCTGCCTTGTCAATGGACGATGGGGACATATCTAGTTTATTTAGCATTCCAAGCACCAATGGCCCAACCCTTCACCCTTTTCTTCCCACACTCTGATCATACAAATAAATAAATAAAAATACAAAACATAAACAAACAAATAAAAAATGTGAACTTTGCTAATAATATTATGATTGGGGATAAATAGATACTAGTTCCATAAACCCTTAAATCGTAACATATCAAGATTTATTTTCAGAAGTGTGAATCATCGTGACATAATTAACAAGCATTGGAAAAATGATGAAAGAACTACTACGAGGTTCTTGTGAATCAAAATAGAGATAGTGAGGCTAAAGCGTCGATTCTCTCCTCGAATAGGTATGCAGACGCAATGGAGAGAGAGACTCACGGGGAGAACAGAGTGTGGTTGGGATGATGAACACGGCTAGGGTTGGTTTAAATCTCAAAATCCTCTAATAGTAAAGCTGTGGTGGAATGCTAGGCACACGGATAGTGCTATAATCTATAAACGGGTAGGGTAAGGATCAGATCTACCTACATTTGAAAACGGGCCCGATTGAGATAGTTGAAGCATTGGTTGAGCTGTTTGTACGGACCATCCACACAATGGCACGGTTGTGCCGTCCCACATATTAGTACCGGGCCTTGCTGGGCTTAGGGGTTCAGGCCAACGAGCCAACATGCCCAACACAAATGCAACATGCATGGCTTGTGAGATATAGTCGTTTACTTGTTCAGCTTTAGGGGGCCCCAATATAACCTATATGCCCTCCCCCAAACTAGTTATAAACAGCTAGTTTAGAGGGGGCATTTGTATTTAACCTTAGGGGCAAAATGACTTAAATGCCCCCAACAGTTATATAACAACTAGTTTTAGGTAGACTTGGTCATGTGTCAAACTTTGAACCTAACTTTACATTGTGTTAAGCTCAAACTTTGGGCCAAATCTATTCAAATTTTGGCAAAAGCCAAGCCTAAACCCAACCCATGAATAGGTCTAGTTTGGTTGCACCTTGGTGAAGTGATAAACATATTTGACTAAAATGTCCCAGTTTTGAATTTGGTCCCTCTCTAATGGTAATGATAGAAATGTAATTTGAACAACTACTTTCTCTTCATTAAAATCTCTCTCATATTAAAGTATTAACTCCCATTATTATTAATTGAATCATACTCTTCACTATAACACCCAATTTTTGAATTTGATCGACCTTCAATTGTATAGGCACAAAATGTATTTTGAATTATTACATTTATCCTCATTCAATTCCCTCTCATTAAGTCTTATATTTTCCTTTCACCCCATTAAATCTTATACTTAGGGTATTAACTCTCATTCATCTCATTGATTCTTATATTTAGGCTATTTTTTACCAATAAATTCTATTAATTAGATCTATACCCAATACTTTTAACGATGTAACACACATGCTTTTTAAAATTGACCCACAAATGGAATTGTTCTTCCATCATTGTGGCACATAAACAGTTGAGCCATCCAGGTCAAATGGGTCAACCCATAACGTCATAATGAAATAAAAAATCTTTAAAATATAAGTAAGTACAAAAAATTAAAAAAAAATAGAAACAACTCTAATGTTTTA